CCGTTGAGGTGGTGTCTGTGGGCGTGGAAGGAGTGGTCGGTTGCTTGGGTTTGGCGATCATCACCACAACGAACTTCTTTTCGTCCATTTCGTAGTCTTTCAGCGGAGTCTCATCCGTCAGGATTTTCCCTGAAATGACAGTCAATTAGACATATGTTTGCACGCAATGGCAATGGAGGACAGGGAGGACAGGGATGTGAAGGGGTGGACAAGAGGTGTCAGACCGGCGTATATCAGTTTCTGCCATTCGATGCAATAATCGCTTCCTCTCTCGCTGTGGATCTTCTCCTTCAACTCCTTTACCTATAAATGAGTCAATCATACGATCATAAGAGTGAGACAATGGATCAGATGTGGTGACAGTGCGTACAGTGGAGTTCGGGTCGATCTCTATCTTAAAGGTCTGCTGTTGTAATGTCTTCAGCGTTATCAGCATTTTGGGATCAATTGAGTCGAGAGTTGATTCAATAAATAGCAAGTGTTGTGATGTTTGGCTCAACACATGAACGACAGACTCATGAAATGAACGGATTGAACGGTAGTGTCACTGAAACGGATCCAATCGTGTCATGAAGTGTCCAACACTTGAATGCAATGCAATATGAATGCAATGTTTGTGAGAATGAGTTGCAGTTATAGTCTCTCCATGTCTTCCACACCAATACCGTTCAGTACATACGTTACCCAACACACAACACCCCCGAAGTCACGCACACATATGCCGTTACGCCAGTCATCGCTCACTCCCCACACGGGGGGGCACTCCACACGCGTATGAGTACAGCGAACCCCATTCGGCGCACCCCTCCCTCCCCTCCCATCATAACTGCATTGAGGAGTGAATGACTCGATAGTAAGCGTAGTGTATGAATGACTGGATGTCTATCTGTGAGTCAAAACATAAACAAACGAATGAATGGATAGACTGGAGATGCGGTCCAATGCAGGGCTCGACTCGAGTGCCAGCGTTAGGGCCAACCATAGGGACAACCATAGGGTCAGCCATAGGGACAACCATTGCCTCCCATTCGCCGCCTCTCTCCGGGAATCGCTCATCAAATGTGTCTTCTTCTGCGAATTCCACCCAACCTTTGGACCCAAACTCATCTATCAGGTCACACATGAAGTCCTCATTACTCTTACCCCTCATCACTGACCGCTTCATTGTCTGCCAACAGATCCCCGAAGACTATGTCTCGAAGGAGAGCTTCGACTCATTGAACGTGTATTTGATACCGAAGACTGAATTGCAGGGCAAACTCATTACAGTGTAAGACACCACTCACTCACGAGTGGTATTGTGGTGATGATGGCATTGATGGTAATTGTGCTCATACTGTATGTGTGATGTCTAGCAATGCGTTGGGTCTCAAGATCATAGGCTTCCCGATGGGCATCAGTGACCCGAAGTATGCGCGCAATCGTCTTATATTCAACGCGTGTTTCGTGTGCTCCGGGTCTCTGCGAACCACTCAATACGAGCCCATTGTCCGCAAAATAGCCTATTATTTGATTCACTTGGAACTGGAGCTCAAGTTCCTGTCGGACGAGCGAAAGAAGTCACAGTTGCCGGAGATTCTCAAAGAAATCAGGGATCAGTTGAATGTCCACAGAGTTTGCTCTATAGAAGTCTGTAAGCGATGTCATCAATGTGTTGTCTGTCAATGTCTTATAAATGTGTGTTGAATTGCTGGACAGCGCCCTCCACTACAATCCATCTGAAGGTGGCGAGAGTACAGCGCGACCCCCAACAAGTGCAGGCCTATCACGTGCCGGTCCTCCTGTTCCCCGTGACGGCCAGTCAGTGGGATCTCACCACTCAACAGGTCCGACACCATCTCATATATCGTTGTGTTCTTTGGTTTCATTATTCGTAACGTTTGTGTTGACTATTATTCATGTAATCAGAGAGTGAGATATCGGTTGTCATTGCATTCAGTGATAGATTAGTCACAAAATTTCTATTCATTTCGTAACAAACCATTTCATGAGATGTCAAATCAATTGATTGAATTAATCGTTTCCGATATTTCAGAGCTCTGTCTAAACTAAAGCTTTACTAATGATTATATTCTGTCTCTGATTGCCTTTCAGTCGGACTATATAAGTATGAAGGTATAGGTTATGAACGCCTACCCCTACCCTCCCTCTGCTTCCCAATGCTCTGTGACTATTCTTCTACTGTACTATTGTCTGCTTTCTCTGTAGATTTGCTTCAAATCAATGCAATAATTATATTTATATAATATTATATACTTATAAATTTAAATATAGACTACAGTACCTGTAGTAGTACACTATAAGACACTCCACTTCCAAATCACATGCAATTTAGACATTAATTAAGATATGATTAAAAAATAGAGGCATAAATTGATTGGTTTGATTGGTTGGGACAACAGATCCTTCCATACATTGATGGCATTCGACACATCTATCGGATCGCAATGGAAGCGGACGTTGAGATGAGTTTAGTGAAGACCTGCGTCCAGAATATGATTTATTACGGAATCATTTCATTGATTCCTATTTTCCAATATTCAAACGTCTACTTAACGACCCCTCGTTTGGTCGAATTGGCCGAAAACGTGGCCCTTCAGGAGGAATGCATTCGGTTTGGCGAACAATGAAATCCATTTGATTCATGATTTGATTTCATGTTTTTCTATAAATTTTAGGTTTGTGTCCAAACAGGAGTCACAACCGTTGCCTACATTTCGTACAATATTCCAACTCTACTGTCATATGTGTCCGGGAATGACAGTCAAAGACCTTTGTATGAAATTCAATCCGTCCGCTCACGGGGTCGACGAGAAAATGCTCATTAAATTCGGTTTAATGCGAGGCTTTATCCGAAGGTTTCAGAAATATCCCATCTTTTTAGCCCCAAAACCTCATTCGGTTGAGAATACGAGAGGTCTCTACCGGTTCTTTGATGGCAACCACTCCTATGACGAGATCTGTTGCAAAGAACTCAAGAGTTATTACGAACTCGAGGAGAGGGTTGAGAAACACCCGGCGATTGTTGTTTGTTGGAAATGATTGCATTCATTGCACTCTTTTTATAACTTTATTATTATATTTGCAATAAAAATATTTGAAATATTTGTATGTATTTGTTTGCTATGAATGAACTCATAGTGAGAGTATGGAAAGTGTGAGTGAGTGTGAGTGTGTGTGTGTGTGTGTGTGTGTATGAGAGAGAGAGAGAGAGAGAGAGATGCTAAGACAGCTAGTAATTAAAGCTCAGATTGCTTTGTCAGGAGATGTACTGTATATGGCATTGGATAAGAAAATGAAAATTAGAGTACATTCTTGTGCTAACAGTTTATAATCACAGTCTAAAAGATTATACAGCTTTTTGTTTAAAATTATACGCAATGCCAATTACAGATCTTATTATACTGATTATGGGTCATTATTTTTCAACTACAGACTTTATATCCTGCTCATCTCGTATTTTTATAAAGATATTCTTATAATATTATTCTTGATAGAAAGTTGTGAGAATATAAATTATGTATGAAATATAGAAAAAATAACAACATTTATTGAATATTCTTCAAATAATTACAATTATTTAATTAATAATAAGTTACATAATCATTTCGAAAATTGTTTTAATTTTTAATTAGTATTGAGTAATAAATATTTAATTATAATTATTATCTATTGATATATTTGACGCATAAATATTTTTGATAAAAATGAAAATTATTCAGACAATATGTGAGACAAATCTAAATGAATTTATTTGAATGGATTTTGCATTGATTTGAATGTTTGCATAGATATTGTTGAATTCGTTATTTTCAGTTAAATTAAGTCATATTTCCAAGTTTCTGAAATATGTCCTGGTATAATTTTCTCTAAACATTATAATAATATTTCTGAAAATATTCATTTCATTCAAAATCTTGAGCTTTAATATTTTAAAATAAATAATAAACATCATTGAACTTTATTGCAGCACAAAATCCTACAACATATGACCCAGAACCTATTTTTAATTTTAATTTGAAATTTTTAAAAATCTAAAACAATGTTAATACATGTGACTTATTAATGTTATATTAATTAATTAGAATAATTTAAATTAATAACTTTAGACTTGTCCGCACATATTATGACCAAATATGAGCAATCAAATAATTTATTATTAACAATTACTTATTCTATTAAATTCACAACATATTATTACTGATAAATATATAAATATTCACAACATATATATGATTGTTAATTAAAAAATTGTTATACGATTTGCATAATTTTAATGCTAGTATTTATTATTTTATGTTATTTAATTGTAAATAAGCTTAAAATTAGTACTATTTATTAGTTGTCATATGTGTTACTATACATCATATACAGTAATATCTAATAAAATTTAAAGTAGTAAGTAACAATTGTAAAGAACTTCAAAATTCTGAATATATTCACTCATTCAATAATATGTATCAAAATATGTGAAGTTTATGGTTACAAAAAGATTCAAACAATTTGTCTCAAGAATAGTAGCTTTAGAAACGATGAATCTTCGCAAACATATGATGTGTTTGTGTGAAAAGTCAGCCCTTATTCCGGAGAAGGATTACTTGAGCCACTTCTGACAGCTTCACATCAATCGGCAGTCTGTCATCGTATAGAGTGGGCGCGTGAAGTATAATGCCTGCAGAGGGTACACAAGACATCGCATATTCATACCATTAATGTAATTACATTCAAGTGAACAACTAATTTACAAATACTATGCAAACACTGACCACATGTGCCCACGAGTACAGCCGTTGTGAATATCCATAGGAAGAGTCTGTCCAAAACCATAGCCACATATTTCCAGTCTTCCTTAACCTACATATTGTGAGGGGAATGGTGTAGAAAAGGGTATGAATTGTATGTAATCTATCGATTATTAAGAATTTCTATTTCTATTTATCATTATTCAGGAAGTGTTGCAATAATTTGCAGTCGAATGGAGCGACTCTTAGACGCCTTTAGAACTGCTTGTGTTTCGAGTCTTACGAGTCGATCGTCCAAATGAATGACAATAACCACTGGATTTAGTGATTAAATATGAGAAGTCCTCAATCGATACGTTGTCACAAAATGTTGGTATTCATAATGTCTTGTTTTCCATTAATTCTGGTTTTTGTTACAATTGTTGTAATGAATTGTTATATGAATTAAAGTACATTTTATTGATTTGCTTTTCCATTGAATATATTACTTGTGAATAGAAAGGGAGTCAGAAATGACTCCTCATTCGGACATAAACTCAACATTTTCTCATTGAATGACTTGTAATATCAATATTATATTATATAACTTTTACCAGACTTTAGTGTAGACTATATATATATATTATATACGAAAAGATTTAACGGTTAGGCAAAGAAACTGCACTAATGTTTGTTCAAATGTAAAGTTTAAATGTTTTCATCTGATTGAACGCAAAATAAGAGCAAATATTTCATACATTTATAGTATAAGGAAAGGGATTTCAATTGAATGCTATCAGGAATTTTGCGGATAAGCTATGATTTAAGAGTTGTATTGCAAAGGAATCCAAATGAAAGTCATTTATTTGAGTCACGTCTCGACATATTCTTGAAAATGTTGCAATTTTTAAAAACTAATACCTAATCATTGATTACCTCATTCTCCTGTTCCGTCCTTCGGGTGCAATCGGCGATGTAGTGAACATTTTCCATCGCCCTTAAGAACTCCGGACAGAAATGGATTCTTCGGATTGGAGGCAAATTTGGCTGATTATTGGGTTGCGGACACAGATTTGACGCTGAATTTGAATGAGAATATTGTGGCGGAGTACTGCCATCGTTTATGAACACCAGTTCCTCGTTGGGAGGCAGAGGAGGATAATTCAAATTCCTATTTCCGTGAACCCGACAATTCTGTACTCGTGTGCCTCCATTTCCGAATGTATTATCCAATTGAGACGAGTATTCAAAACTGGCTCTTCTTTGGTAAGGCGATGAAGAATTGATTGGGAACTGAGAGTCAGGTCCTGTTCAACGAGACAATTACCACTGTTGTACTCATTCATTCATATAGTCAATAACAATAGATTTATAACATGTATAAATTTTATATTATATTACTTTTATTATTAATTAATTCTAAAGCTTATAAAAGTATTGCTCTGTGTGATAATGACTTCAAAATTGATATCAAAATGCAAGCTTGAAATAAAAATTAATATTGCTTTGTACTTCTAATACTAAAACTTAATATAAATTTGATTGATGTTAATTTAATAAAAGTAATGAGAATTGTGTTATGATAGATGTTATTATGTTTACGCCAGTTGACATTTAGAAATCAGTGTTGATCACAACTACAGTACTTTACAATATGTTATGATTTTTATCGACTTCGAGTATTTTGAATGCAAAATCCTACACATTATAATAATATTTTCTTTACTTATAAGATTATATTTATGGTTCAAAGTGGACACATCATTTACATGCAACTATCGTTATATTATGCTTCATAATCTATGGTATGTTTAAAAATTAATAGTATAATTCGTCGATATTTTCTGCTTATTTGAAACAATTATTTAATAATAGGTTTAATATATTTATAGTTTCTCCAATAATTTTCAATAATATGTTGAGAATCTGATGTAATTTGAAGTATAGATAATCCGTGATATGAGAGAATACATTAAATATATGCAATATTGTATTCCCTTGGAAATAATGATTTCAGGCATTGAATGCATATATCATAAGAAATGATAATTTTCTACATAAATATTTAATAGGCGTAAACAAATTCGAGTCATAAATCATTGTCTAAAACAGAATATAAAAAAAAAGTCTTGTAATACCAGTCCCACAATCAGTCTGACTGTTGAAATCTGAGAGCTCTGTCCTATTACAGGTACGGACTATATTCCGGGTCTGTTTCGGATAAGAATCGCAATTATATTGAACGGTATCCACAGCACTGGCATCACCAGCTCCACCATCACCAGTGCCCGGAGTATATGGAGGTCTTCTCATGAGTAGTAGTCGCGGAAGAAGATGAATGAATACTCTCTTAACCCATGGGGCCTAACATATCATCACATATACGATACACACAAATATTATTAATATATGGTTATGTGTTTTGCAAATGCATTCAAATAAATACCATTTTATGTGTTGCCGACGAACGAAAATGAACATTAAGTACAACAACAGTCACGCATATCGACAATGTGACCAGGATCATCGTGAATAACAAATACTTACCCAGCAGTGGAACAACTAGACTGGTTGGCTTTTGTCAAATACAATATATTTCAATCATTGATTATTTGTTATGATTATTTTCTAAATGGAAACACAATGCCTTCATTTGTCTTATAGAATCTGAGATTTCAAAACCAATAAAGTATTTAAAAATAAATTTTATTGATTTGTTTGCAAATTAATGGAAAAGTGAACCGAGAAATGAGTTGAAGCGTACTTTTAAGGGAATTTGATATACATTTAAACAAATTACTTTGAATTCAAATCTGTTATTCAAATTCTGTTTAAGTGATTGAATGCAAAACACGGCAAGACTTGAGACAAAAAATAATTTAAGTGAAAAGCGATATAGAGTTAAGACTTAGAACTTATGCATTAAAAATAGGAGAGAAGTTGTGTTTCCATTAGAAACAAGAATTGTGGGATCAATTCACGTCAGATATACCGGAATAATTTCAGCCAAAAGTAAGAAAAACACTGTCAATGATAGCAGAATGGATACGGAGAGCGCCACCTAAAACATACAGGCATTCAAATTAGCAAATGTTTTTCTGTATGAATTTAATCAATTATTAACATTAATCTGATAAACATTTCAATCGGTGTATATGTTTGATCTACAGATATTTATATTTGTAGAATTAATTTAATGTATTTAATTCTAAGTAATATGTTTATTAAATTGACTAATGATTGGATCCAAAAGTTTTAAACAAAATCGATAGATTTAAGAAATAAATAAAAATTTGTTATAAATTTATAATTAATTAACCAAAAATTAATTAATATGTTAAATGTATATGAAATATTTTAAAAACCATGAAACTAATTTAGAAATTGTTTAAAATTAGAGTTTTATTGTATTTTTTCTATTGATAAATAATTAGTTAAATTTAAAAAATAAACATAACATAAGTTTGTGATATCCCTTTTTTAAATGTTTTGTATTAAAACAAAAAATCTAATTTAAAAAATTTATTTTGTTAAGACTTCATTTTTATATAAATATTAAATAACATTTGACAGTTTAATCATAAGTTTACATAAAACAAGTTCTTAGAAATTATAAGAATAATCCAATTATAAATTCAACTGACATGCAAATCATGTAAATTTATATTCGTATGATTTTAATTACTAATGTGAGTAAGATTTGTTTTTAAAAAATATTTCCATGGTAAAAAGTAACTTAAATAAAATGTGATCTAATTCTGTGAGTCTTTTAGTTTGTAATCCTTAAGTGGGGCCACAATATACTGTATATAATGTATGACTGACTGACTGTTTAATAAATTATTTAAACATTAATGAATTACTTTCCATTAAAACATTATACCGTACAAAATTATAATCAAATCTCTGTTATATTTAACTTATTTTGAAATCGATATAAATATTTCACAACTGATAGGAAGTATTGAACAAATAAAGTGAATGAATTCGTCCTATAATTGAATTGTCGTTTTGTTTATTAAATTTTGTTCTCATATTTGTTTGCAAATTATATAATTAATTAATAATCGAAAATAGTTTTACACAAAAAATATGCGATTCATGAACGGAGACATCGTTATGAAGACATCCCGTTTAGGACTACTGTATGTTATGTTATACTTGTTTTAACGACTTATATATAAAAAGAGACCAAAAATGAATTGTTTTGCTATAAATCGATGACATAACGTATAGAATAATAGCAAATGAATTGAACAATAAGTAAAGAATTCGAGAGAATTGTTATTGAAATTTGTATTGTAGTTAA